GACACAAGCAACGAGAAAGCGGTCACGAGCAACACACAATCTCACTGTTTTTTTTCACCAAAAAAAGTTCAAATCGATGTCATCTACTGATCACGCAAATCATCCCAGAAAGCTCGATACCATGATGTCACGTATGACACCTGTTGTTTCATTTTCGCATAGACAATCCCACAAGAATGATCCAAAAAGATCGGTACAATGATGCTTCACTAGTGAAATGTCTGCAGATGCTTGCAACAGAGGCCAAATGCAAAAGCCAAGTCAAAAAGAAAAAAGTTTGAGTTACAGACGAAATCAAAGGTATTGAGCAACACTCGTAGGTCGTGGCCTTGGTGTAGTGCCGTAGTGAACGACACAATCAATAGAATGCCAACAGAACACGGGTCCTGAGATTTTTTGACTGCAAAACACAACACCAGTTTTGATTCTGAATGAGAGCTGCGCCTCACTGACCCAGGTCATGCAAGATGCAGCGTCGCGTTGTGATATTCTCACTGTCGCATGATCCGTCTCAAACACATGCATTCATATAGAAGAATGTTTGAGAGAAAATATTTTGATACACTGGCACAAAGATGCACCACTAAACTCTGTCTTTTTCGAAGCAAGAGCCGCGAAGCGCGATCGTGCAGACGATGCCAGTCGAACTGCGTTATTTCCCCATTGCTCGGACAGTCCCTTCCGCAATGAGTACTGAACGCAAAAGCACACGGCAACAAACACATGGCACTACAGCGCATCCCGCGCATCATCTCGCATTCCTCAGTTCCTAGCAGGACGCTCATGAACCGGCTCATTAGCAACCATGGGGTCGATGATCTGATAGAGCAATCTTCCCTGCTCATCACGTTCTTCTGGAACAAGAAATCCATACCAACGAAACTCACCAGGTTGGACCTTCTCCAAGACATTTGCCTCCATCTTTCGAAAGTAACCCAGAGCAGTTATTTCTACCTGGAGGAAGCTGTAATCGAAGTAGTTGTAAGTGTGACACCATTGAACATCTGTGGCACGCCCAAGAGGCATTTGAGTCGCACTCAAATCGATCCTGGAGGTAAAGATGTCTGGCTGGATTCTATGATGCGTCCGCAGCTCCTCCATCTGTGGTGGGGCGAGAGCTATCCACAGACGAATACTATCCTCCATTGAGTTCAAACCGAGATTACTTCCCAGACTCAGCAAAGAAAATGGCTTCGCGACACCGATGCCTTGCATGTGGATTGACACTCACTGCAAATCTCTGTCCATGCTGATCTCTAGACTGTGAACTCTACCGCTTACAGTTCTTCCCAAACCAACGACAGACAAGTCTACAGTCAACTTCCAGTTCAACATGACAACTCCACACGCCTAAACTCACAGTTTCACTACAGCAAATCAAAAACAAACCGTTCATGATGACACAACTGACACGTGACAACTGTTTTTTTCATAACAATTCCCATATAAACCACTAAATAAGATCGATACCAAGCTAAGGGGCTGTCCGTGAGATCTCGGCAAACTGTGGCATGCAGCGTCACGCCCTGACATCCTCGGTGCCGCATGCCGCGTCTCAAACACATGCATTCACATCAAATTTTGATTGACGACAATGCACCTCGCACAGAGATGAACCACTAAACTCTGTCTTTTTCGAAGCAAGAGCCGCGAAGCGCGATCGTGCAGATGATGCCAGTGGAACTGCGTTATTTCCCCATTGCTCGGACAGTCCCTTCCGCAATGAGTACTGAACGCAAAAGCACACGGCAACAAACACATGGCACTACAGCGCATCCCGCGCATCATCTCGCACAGATTTTCTCACTTCAATCCAACAAGTGATCCACTGCCATCGAAACAACGTCACGATCACAGCTGCTCGAACCAGTTGCTTAATCTCCTGTGCAGTCATTTCGAAGTTATAGAATAAGAGGTGTTTTTGCCAATGCTCCACATTCTGCACAGAAGGCCCAGCTCTTGGAAGCATCCAACAGCAAACGCCTTCGATCACGTCGTTGAGATAATCTGGGCAAATCCCATAGCGAATGCGTCCCTCTTCTTCTTTTTCTCCGGGATAGAACCACTCGACCTTCATGTGCTTCAGCAAAGCAATGAGGCGATCTGAACTCGCAAAGTTGTAGGCACATTGACTTGTGGCCTCCCAACAGAAGGCTTTCCCAGAAGGCGTCTCCCGGTTGGCCCAAATAATTCTTTCCAGAGGCAACATAGAATGAATAGTTCGCATCAAATCCTGCACATGCAGCACCAGTCATCAGGTGTCAAACACTTCAATTAAAATCATCAGCCATATATCCAAAAATTCAAATCTAAAATCGAAAAACAACGGAAATAACATGAAAGCGAAAACCAGCGGTTTCCAACGCAACTCCTGCATGACCGAGTGAACATTGTGGTCCGAAACGCCGTCTGGCAATTTGTCCTTTCTTCTTTGCCGTTTTCCGTCCTTATTCTTGTCACGATCGAATGGTAGGTGGCCTTGTTCCTGTCTTTCCACAAAAGTCAAAGTCTCACTCTTTCGAGTGGGCCTCGCAAAGAAACCTTTCTGACCTGGTCGAACCACAAATTTGTCTTCGAGGTCTTGCAGTCCTTGTTTCATGACTTCATTTTGCCACACGTCCAAATCCATGCGACCCAGCACTTCCTGCGCAAAATGCTGCAGTGAAGGATTGAAGCACTCCGATGTGATCTTGTTCCACAAAAAAGAAGCCATGCGCGAAGACGGGTGGAGACATTCAGTGATAACCAAATAACTGCCGGAGATCTGTTTTTTGCTCTCAGGCCTAGTTTCACCATGTCTTTTGCACACCGCCACGTTCGTTTCTCCTTTCTCCATCAAAAGCTCTTTTGGCGCCGCCAAGATGACGACCGCCCATTGCGTCGGCTCTTCAGATTCAAAACAATGCAGCATCACCGTGCTTTGGCGTCCTCTAGCAGTATTCATTTCAACCTTGCAAACCACCAGCGGCGATTCCCGGAGAAGTTCAACACAAATGGTGTCACCCCACGTGTCGATCTCCCTCGTAGGTGGAACCTCGTGCACAACAACCTCTGGAGATCTAGCAACGTTGCGATGAAAAGAAGAGCTGGAAGCAGCACCAGCAGCCTGCGTTCGTGGAAGTTTGTCCTCGTGCCAAGGGTATGGAAAATTGCTCTGACGAACTGCTCGAAACTCAACGGTCATAGCTGACACAGCCTCTTGAAACTTCGTCCATTCTTTGGGCTCTCCCGGTTGAAACCTGATTTTCATTTTGACAATGTTCGTTCTTGGGTAATAGAAGTACAGAAAAGAACGTAACAACATCGAATTAAATAAAGAAAACCTTACATATAGATATATTTATGCAAGCTACTGTTTCAGATCTGAATAGAAACTGCCCAACTCACGATGTGCGAGGTGTGTGGGGACCAAGGCAAGCAATTTCTGAAATTGTTCGTGCCAAGAATCTCCAATCAAACTTTGTCTCCGCAGTTCGGCAAGGAACCCTCGATCCTGGGAAACAAGGTTCTGGAAAATCATTCTCATCCCCTTTCCCAGATTCTTGTATTTGTCTTCCTCACCCACGGCACGCAAACCATCCAGATCGTGCATCACCCACTTGCCGACCACACCCCTCTGCGCGATTCCCAAGTTGTCCAGCTTTGCGTCCCACGGAAAAACACCTTTTCTCATGAACTCGAACAACACTTCCAACATGTTCATGTACTCCTTGCAGGCTTCCCACCATCCGTCGGCGTCACACTGCTGCTTGGAAACTAGTAATCGAACCTTTTCCAATCCGACCGCCATCAACTTTTCCTGGACCGTGATAGATGCGACAACATCTGCAGCCGACAAGCGCGGCACTTGCTGACCATAGAAACTGTTTCCTGGGAACAAAATACCATTCTTGCCAGCTGGAAGGCTACTTCGAAGATACACCTGACCATAACAAAAGGCCATCCAGTCCGAAAGACTGCCACGGTACATGTCAAACCGCTTCTGCTCTTCTTCTGCACCTCCATGTGGCCACGTTGCACTATTGCGATGCTTCAACATCATCTTCACCACCAGGAGATGGTTGTCCAAAACGTAAACATCTTTGAAGGCGCCACAGCCGGCAGGTGTCATGACATCTCGGATAGTTGAAATCACATTTGGGTCCTCCTGAGACCCAAACACCAGCGTCACACTTGCTCTGAGAATCAAAGCTTGGGCTGGCGCTTTCTTAGAACCCTTTCTCCATGTTATCTCGAGATCCGAGATCTTGGCCTCCACGAGCCTATGGGAGCGAAGTGGCTCCAACGACATAGCGGCACACTTGAAAAGAGAAAGGCTATGTCTCAAATTTTCAATGATTACATGTTTGAGAACATCATCGGTCAGTTTCAAATCTCGAGATCTCACGGACAGTCCCTTCAGAAATCTCGAGAAATGCAACAACCGTTTGGTGGTGTCTTGTCAAGCATGCCTACACCATTTGCTCATGCTGCATGGTATTTTCTTTCCTCATGCGTGACTCTTGTCTTGTCCATTGCCTGCCATCTGAGCCCAGGAATGTTTGATTCACATCTATGGAGCAAAGAGGTCAACAAGGTCTGTACGTGAAACAATGAATTCCCATGGAGCAACACAAAGCATACTCGCTGAAGCTCGAGACTGGGATCGCGACTCCGGAGCTTGCGATAACGAAGCACCATCCTCTGGAGAATGACCTGCAAGCTCAAGACTCAACTGCTGCTTCTTCACCCTGACAAGACTCGTGTGACACTACCCTTACCACGACATGCCAAAGCAAGTACATCAGAAAAGCTCGGCACCATGATCACCTGTATGACATGCGCTGTGTATGATTCCGCTGTGTATGATTCCGCTCTACAAAGCTGCCATCCTTTCCTCACAAAACGGGAATCACATCCCGGGCAGCTTCAGGTGACGCACGGACGGTTCCTACAATGTCACCTTCAATGGGCTTCAGGTGACACACGGACAGTTCCTACAGTGTCACTGTGAAACGCTTCTAAAGATTCTTGTCACGGAGCCACGCATCGATGTCCGTGGGAATGTTGTAAGTCGTGTTCGAATCTGCCCACCCCCGAGCATTTTTCCCGCACGACTCACAATTGACATCAAAGTCTGGCTGCGCCGCATAATATTTCAGGCACCTCAAACAATGAGCCTCAGCCGCAAAGAGAAATTTGTATTCCATCCGTCTCTCCTCGGTGATCGTCTTCTTTCTTTTCTTCGAGATACCAGGTCCCAGAGGATAGTTCTCATCGAAGTCATTGCAATGTGGAGCGTCGCGACACAGTGTCGGACCTTCACTATCCGAGTCTTCATCGCTCGGAGACGGTGGTGCAAATCTCATTTTGCGCCAAAAGGTAACATCATCCATTTCCTCGCTGAGCCGGCCTTCACATAGCATTCTCCAAGCTTTCAAGTCCCGAAGAATACACTTCAAGTTCGAAACAAATCGGAGTGAATGACCACGCGATTCGAGATTCCCAAGCTCATTCTGCAAATAGGGCAACGAAACTTCCTTGCATGTCTTGTCGTTGCATCCCAAATTGAAAAGCAAACTTCTGAATCTTGAGATCAACATGTGCTGTCTGTCCCGAATATCACACAACTTCCAATCTTCAAACTCCAGCAATAATCCTTTCAGTTCACGCAAATGTTCTTCTTCACTCTCGTCCCCCGGAGGCTGCGGATAAGAGGCCATGACATCTCGGGCAGCTTTCTCGACAACTTCCAAGGACACCTCCTCTACATCTTGCACCACCCCAAGCTCCAACAGCAAATTCTGATTCTTCAAAAGCAGGAACTCGATAATTTTTTGTTGATCTTGGACGTTAACACTGGGGTTCGACATGTCGCCAACCGAGTTCTTCTACAATGTTACAGTACACCACCACACATCCCGAACAACGTCTACCAATTTGACTATATATTTTTATATTGTTCACTGTTCATGCGTTGCAACAAAATTGAACGGTATAAAATTGAACGGTACAATGCTTCCCGTAATATTTTTTTTGTCCACTGCTCATGCATTTCAATGAAAAACAAAAACATCACATAGATCCACTGCATCGTAAACAAACACTGATATTACCACTTGCAATTCTCGGGATCTCACGGACAGCCCCTACAGAAACCTCGAGAAGAGCAAGAAATGTTCAAGATATCTGTTTGCCAACCGTGTTTCCTGCCTACAAAATGCATCTTGTTTCTCCGTTCATGTCTGAGCCCAGGAAAGTGGTAAAGAGGCAAACCATGCTTGTTTCGTCTTGCATCATCGTAGACAAACTATGCTTGTTTCGTCTTGTTCAAGAGAAACTGAGAACACAATCGAATGCAAAGAATTCGTTCTCTGACTTCAAAACTCAGAGCACAATTGCTAAGTTTGACACTGGGCATGGGCACCATTGTCGCAGAGACCTGCAAACTGCTGAACAGTGAAGCTGGCAATGAACACATCAAATCAACACACTTCAAAAAAATCGGTTACCGTGAATCGCCGAATAAAACCACATGTTGTGCAATGAAAATGACCTGATGCTGGTGAAATCTCACAACAGATCATAACAGTGCATCTCAATGCATGACATCACTGCATGGATGACGGTCAACCGCGGAACTACTTTTCAAAACGGCACTTTCGTTAACCACCACGCATCACGAACAGTCTCTTTAAATGCGGGTGGAATGTTTGCCATCAAAACAAACTATACACACATTCTCACAAGTTGTACTTTTCAAAATGGCACTTATGGATTCCACCACGCATCACGAACAGTCTCTTTAAATGCGGGTGGAATGTTGGCCATCGAAGCAAACTATATACACATTATCACAAGTTGTGGCGTTGCAGCCATCGTTCCACATCATCTGGGATGGGTACCGTGGTACGCTTTTTGCCACCCGTGGAACTGGCAGCCCATTGGCGAGCATTCATGTTGCAAGATTTACAGGTCACATCAAGACCGGGCTGCCTCGCGTAGTAATCCATGCACTGAACGCATTT